ACCATGCCCAGCTAATTTTTTGTATTTTTAGTAGAGACGGGGTTTCACCATGTTGACCAGGATGGTCTCGATCTCTTGACCTCGTGATCCACCAACCTCGGCCTCCCAAAGTGCTGGGATTACAGGCTTGAGCCACCGCGCCCGGCCTCGGCTGTTTTTCTATTTATTTCTCCATAGTTATCGCGTCTTTTTTCCACCTTTCAAAAATCATTACAAATTCCAGTCAATGATGGCATGTCTTCTAGAATTATTAGAAATTTATACTGTCTAATATATTTTCTAAAAGCTTATGGGGTTTTGGCTCCCAGGTAGCATAGGTCCAAATTAACATTACTGAACCCATTATTATTTGGCAAGCACTGTGTGTTTATCATCATGTGTGTGCCACTTAATCTTCATAACGGTTCCATGAGCCAAGCACCATTATGCTTATTTTAAAGATAGGAAACAGGTGCAGAAAGGTACATTAACTCTGTCCAAGGTTACACAGTTTAACAAGTAACAACCAACATTCAAACTCAGGATTATACAACCCTAAATAACTCATACTCTATGATATACCTTGAAGCTAACTCACTGACCCAGAGGATGGAGGGGATTCTGTAGCAAAATCTGTTATTTCTCAAATTATTCCCAATAAATAGACAGTACAAGATATTTTTCAAGTCAGTTCTGCAGCTTAAAACAAATTTAGCCATGCCTGCCTATGGTACAGATGATAAATTTCATGACACTGAATGTTAGGCCTTCCAGAACTGGAATAAAAATATTCCTGAGTCGGGGTGGGGGGAAGCTAATATTCTCAGGGATGATTTTCCCAGTGGGTAAGCAGCCTCAGCTCCACAATTTCTCTAAGAATATACTCCTGGGCTTTATGACAGTGAAACACATTAGGAAAACTATTAAAGTTTTAATGAAAATAAACATTTGCTACCTGTCCAAGTGTAAAGACACAATCTCTGAGGACACTGCTGTCTTCTCAAATGTTTTTCATACTCATTCTTTTCCACACTTAAAAACAAACTCAGCTATACCAAATCCTAGGAAATAAAGCATTGTCTAGAAGCACTCAGCCCTGTAGAACAATCTGAAAGCTGGGCTGAGCTAGAATATATAAAAGAGGCTCAAGAAAGGAGAGACAGTCACTTCCTGTCCATCCCACAACACCCCTTTGTCAGCACAACAGTTCTCCCACTTGGCAAAGGCTGTGTATATTTTGTGTATACACGTAATGGACTCCAAAAGCACAGATTTTATTTTTTCCTTTTATTTTCCCCCATTGTTCTCCCAAACCTGAAAATGAAGCCAGGGAAAAAAACAAACAGGGATTTGAGAGAACTGGTTATAGTGAAATCAGCAATGACTAGAAATAAGTAGGCCTGGATTCAGGTCCTGGTCCTATCACTGAGTAGAAGGAGAAAGCAAGAACAAATCACTAAGCTGGGCTTTAGTTCTACCTCCTGTGAAATGAGGCAGTGGGGCTAGATTAGGGCTAGCAACATTCTAGCACACATTCTCTAACCCTCTGCTCCAAACACAGCTGTCTTTCCTGTTGTACTGGAGACCTCAGATTCTTCCCATACAATACATTAAATAACTCCAGACAGTTACTATCAATTAATTTGAGCAGGCACAAGAAAAGACATCTATTAGTTACCGCTAGATTATGATTGCTAGGTGACTCTTCAACTGAAACTCCACTCCTTAATACTTTCCCTCAACTAAATGTTCTTCAATACAAGTTGGCACATTGTAGAACCCAAGTCATGGAACACTACCTTGTGCCCTTGAGTTGACATATTAAAGCAGAATCAAGAGCAATTCCTCTTTAAACCCAATATAAACAGTTTAAGGAACTCGGGCTGCTAAACTTTGTTAGACATTTGCAGAAAATTTAAAACAACAACAACAACAAAAATACAAGTTTGCTGTGTTGCCTTTTAATTGCACAGGGAATTAAATCTCCCGGTCAGAAAAAAAAAGAAAAAGAAAAAGATCTCTCAGGAATTGCTGGTCTGAGTTCACATACTAACAGGTGATAATATCTAGGTTTTGTAAAGTTTAAAATCTGAAAACAGACTGGATATGGGACCTGAAAGTAAGCAAAGGAAGAGACATGAAATGGAAGAGAACACAACAGGCATCAGTTCAGCTAGAGGTCTTCCTACATTCCATACCCACATAAGTACACTGCTATTTTCAGAGAAGTGGATGCAGAACCTTATCAGGTAAATAACAGGAAAATAAGACGAATTATTAATGTCATCCTTATTATTTCCTCAAACAAAATGAAAAATGAATGAGAAGACCCTGGCGACTTCGGAATCCTAAGGTCTGACATTCCATGATTCAGCTGGCTGTCTGGCCCATTACTTTCCACCATTTTCTCAGGCGCACTTTTTAAGGGTGTTTTGAACTGCTCACTTCTTCCTCCTGCTGGGAAGTTGCTGGGTTTGGCAAGCTCTCTCAAAATACCATAGATCTTCATGGCCAGCAGGTGGTGCTCTTATTAAGCCCCTTTCACAAAGTTAACAAGATTTTCCCCAAGGTTATATATCCTCTGTATTTCCAACTAAGGATTAAATGGACTTGATTACTTGAGATGATGAAGAAAGCAAAGCCCCCTTCCTGCTGGAATACTAACAGGTTATTATACTCTAGTCTCTCTACCTTCCACAGCCAGGCAAAGAGTTGGCTGTAACAACAGTCTCTCAATTTCTATCACCAAAACACACTTAATGAGAGTGGCTGAGGTACAGTCAAGGTGTGAGACAAAACTCCAGGATGAAGAGCAGCAGCTGGTTGTCATTCTAACAAATTACACAAACTGGATAGGAAACAGCATTAAAACTCTACTTAAAAAAAAAAAAAAATCTGTCATACGGGGCCAGAGAAAGTATCACATTCAAACAATTTCTGTATTTACGTTTGATATAAATGTAACTAACCATCCACAGAAATTAATGAGTCAAAATCATTTTTAACCCTGCTATGAAAAAAAAAAAACTTGGAAATCCTTCTTGAGTCCTCTCTTTTAGTAACTGCCCACTCTCCGTATTCTAATCCATTAGCAAGACCAGTCAACTCTACTTCTAAAGCAGTGGGTCTCAATCAGAGGTGCTTTTAACCCTCCTAATTACTTGGCAATGTGTAGAGACATTTTTGGTGGTCACAATGGGGGTTGTAGCTGGCCTATATGGATAGAAGCTAGGAAAGGTGTGAAATACCTTATAANAAAAAACTTGGAAATCCTTCTTGAGTCCTCTCTTTTAGTAACTGCCCACTCTCCGTATTCTAATCCATTAGCAAGACCAGTCAACTCTACTTCTAGAGAAGAGGCTGTAAAGGGTGGCCCAGTAGGCAAATTACCACACAAGTGCTTGACCCACACAGTAGTATGCCAAGCTGCTCTTATTGTTATGCTATACAGTGATGTACAGGGAATCCCAATACTTCAGGGGGTGTTATTTACAAAGAATATTATGTGAATGGTGCCCTTTGGAGTTGGCTATCTCTGCAACCATGGGAGTCTTCCTATTTCCAAATGGACTGCATTCTGAATGTGGCAGCTGTTTGGATCTAAGCAAAATTATTCCAACAGAAATAATATTAGATATGGTAACCAGGTCGTCAGGTCAACCCACTGAAGTGTAATTAATCCACAGGCAAATAAAATAGTTCATAGAGCCTCCGTGTGTGTGTGTGTGTGTGTGTATGTATGTGTATATATATATATATATATATATATATTTTTTTTTTTTTTTTTCCCCCTCCATAGTCTTTTAAGGAGAATTTAATGACCAACTTTCTCATCCAAACCCCAGGGCCATGGCTAGAAGCTCTTTGTATATGTGTGAAACATAGGAAAACAGGATTAGAGGTAGGAAAATAAAAATAATAAAAACTAGAAAAGAAGGAGTGTTCCCTATATCTTTCTTTCCATTCCCCCTCACTGCTGCCTATAGTTGCTTGGAATAATGGTGTGGGAGGTGTAAGGTATGCCGCAGGGCAGCATTCATGTCAGATCTATGATGTAATGCAGTCAGCAGGACAGAAAGTGTTCAGAGGAAATGGAATCTCTTAGTAGAGTTGCTGAATGATGGAACAGGAGCTGACAGACACACGGTCTGGGTATATTTGAGGGTTGGCAAGATTATCTGCAACTGTATGTGGTAATGCTGTTGACAAATAAATGATGTTGTGTTTAGCAGGTAATATCCAATTAGTGCACTTAAGTGTCAGGGCTTCCTGTCCTTCTTCAAGTATGAGACTATATGATTCAACACAGTAATTCAGAGAATAACCCAACAAATGTTCCCAAGTCTTCCTGGTGGCTCTGTCTGTAGACAGAATCCCAGAAAGGGTAAAAAGCTGATTTCTCTGAATAATCTGTCTGGAAAGGAACTTGAAATACGGCAAAAGGAAGGACAGACATCAGATAATCTGGGTTTGAACTGTGAGGGCATTCAAACTCATTAGGCATGTAGTTTTAGATAAGCCACAACCTTACCAAGCCTGTTCTTTCAGCACTAAAACTAAGTAACACCTTACAAGATTTCTGGGCAGGGCGTGGTGGCTCATGCCTGTAATTCCAGCATCTTGGGAAGTCAAGGTGGGCGATCACTTGAGCCCAAGATTTTGAGACCAACATGGGCAACATGTGAAACCTCTTCTCTACTAAAAATGCAAAAAAAATTAGCCAGGTGTGGTGGCGCGCACCTGTAGTCCAGCTACTCAGGAGATTGAAGCAGAGGATCACCTGATCCTGGGAAATCCTTGCTGCAGTGAGCCAAAATCATACCACTGCATTCCAGCCTGAGCAACAGAGGGAGACTCTGTCTCAAAAAAAAGATTTCTGAAAAAAGCAAACGGACAAATATGAGAAGAGTACTATAAACTGTAAAATACTATACAAATAATAACTGCAGTTGCATGGACTCTATAAATCCAACGCCAAGGTAAGGTAAAAGTCAGTGGCTCTAGAATCTGAAGCACAGAGGAAAATGTTTTTAGGTTTTCCACTCACTGTGTTCAGGTTTATTTACTGCTCCACCAACTCCTGACTATCCATGTGTTCCAGGTTTTCTGTTTCCTTTCTCTTACAAGAAATCACATGGCAGCAGCAATATTACACTACATCCTTATCACAGTCAGAGTGGGTTCTGGTAACAAAAGCCAAAAATTCTGGAATCTACTGGATATAGGTGGCCAGAAATTCAATCATTTAAAGAACAGATACAGAACAGGGGATTACAGTTAGCTAATGTTTGATCAACTGTCAATTAGAAGGATTCTTTCTAGGATAAGAGTTGGCAATGACTTTTTATTAATAAACTTTTGTTGGAACACAAGCAGGTCCATTTGTTCACATATTGTCCATGGATGCTTTTGTGTGACAATGACAGGGTTGAGCAGTTGTGACATGAACCGACATCAATTACACGGCTTACAAAGCCTAAGGTATTTACCACGTGGCTGTTGAAGAAAATGTTCAGGCCGGGCATGGTGGCTTACACCTGTAATCCCAGCACTGTGGGGGGCCAAGATGAAGATGAGTGGATCACCTGAGTTTAGGAATTTCAAAACCAGCTTAGGCAATGTTAGTAAGACCCCATCTTTAAAAAAAGTTAAAATTT